TGTACAGGGATGAGTTGATAGGAGGATTCAATTTATTTAGGAAGAGGGGAAGATGAAAGTATGTGTTCCTTATTTTGTCCAGTCACACTGTTTGCCTTTTACTGACATAAGTCTCTAGATTGTACTGCAGGCTCATGGAATTCAGTATTTCAGAATTTATTCAAAATTTACATTATACTGGGACAAGTTTTCTCAGCAAATAGGACTCTTAGCTGCAATTTATGAGACTGCTTTGTGGTTGGTTTTTTTTTTTTTTTTTTTTTTTTTTTTTTTTTTTTATGTTATTGGATTATTTTTTCCCTTCATTATCTACACTAAACTGGATTTGCTGTGAGATCATACTGGGTTACTCAGGCCTTTATTCAGTCTCATCTTGGAAACCTCTTAGGGTAAAAAACAAACAAACAAACTCTGAACAACCTGTTCCACTGTTTAACTGAGCAGTCAAAACATCTCTTAGGGTTTTGGTGGGGTGACAGTGAACGTTCCTCTCGTTTTTTCCCTAAGTGCATAATAGGGCTTATCCAGAGCTTTATTTCTTTAATGTTTGCCTCTTCTGTGTAGTGATATGCTAGCCATCATTAAGACTTCTGGAATTGAACATTTCTATTTGCATCCTCAAATCGCAACAGTTTCCCTTTGTCGCTTTGCTTTTGTAATATTACTGTATTTTTACTTTTTGGGGTAACTTCAATGTTTGGTTTTCAGCTTAGAATAGAATTGACTTTTACTGAGAAGTAGTTTCAGAAATATTTCTAAGGCTTTGAAAAATACTGACTTGCTGGATGTCTGAGACATGTACTAGTAGTGCTAAGTTGCCTCTAATGAATCCACGTGGTTAGAACATGAGCAGACATATAGGTGGTCATTCTATGCTTTTGCTTATCATAAGAACTTCTGCCTGAGTTCATGGGGAAAAGAAATTTGTGAAAGAATGACAACAAAGTTCTGTGTTCTAAGTTGGAATGAAGTTCTGTGCAGGTGGATATGTGGGAAGTATAAACTGAGCAAATGTCACTTGTACAGATGTTACAGTGTACAAATGTTAGTACTGGTAAGCATCATGAGTGGGTGTTAAGTATAATGTTGTTTCTGTGTTGGTCTGTTAGATAAAGTGGACTGGTGTCATAGTGGAATGGGGAGCCACATGATCCACAGGCCCATGTCTGATCCAGGTGTGTTTTCACACCAAGCCATGGAAAGAGACAGCACGGGAATCATAACGCCTTCTGGTACATTCCATCAGCCCGTTCCTGCAGGATACATGGACTTCCCAAAAGTTGGGGTAATGACCTTCTTGTTCTTGATATGTGCTGTACCACTTGATTTTTTTCTACATCTGTGTGTCTTGCAGATAGAGAACATGAGATACTGCTTGCTGGGCAGCTCAGCATCTGTGAGCAGTATTGCAGAAGCCTAAATCTAGCAAAATATCATATGCCCACGATGTAATAAAGATTATTCATAAATTAAGGCTGCTTCTTACTACTTCAAGACAGAATGTCTTTTAATGTTGAGTCCCCTTTTGTATGTTTAATAGGAGTAGTGTTTGTGAATACATACTGATGCTTGTTTTTTTTCCTCCCTCATAAGGGTATGCCTTTCTCTGTGTATGGGAATGCAATGATTCCTCCAGTAGCCCCCATCACAGATGGTACTGGGGGCCCAATATTTAATGGGCCTCATGCTGCTGACCCATCTTGGAACTCTCTAATAAAGATGGTTTCAAATTCCACAGAAAATAACGGGCCTCAGACGGTAATGTTTTTTTATTCTTATGTTTGCAGTGTTGTTCTAGCTTAAGAAACCATGTGGTGAAGATGCAAGATCCTAGCTGGTAGAAAGTTTAAAAAAAAGTCTCTCCTTTTTGCTTGTTTCTTAAGGTTTTTTTGCTTATTCCTTTCTACCTCTCCCCACAGTACAGACATAAAGACAATCTGTAAACATTAGTTGTCTATCCAAAATTAATAGAAAAAACAGCATCAGTAAGTTAATGCAGTTTAAAGTAGTGTACTTGAGAATTAGGATGTTTGGTTCCAGCTGAGTCTATTCAATTGGAGTAGGCACCTGGTTAATTACTGCAGATGAGCTGCTTTGTGTTGTAGGTAAGACCTTATCATTGGTAGTTCTTACACTAAATTCCATGTTTATTCTTAATTATACACTGATTTCTGTCATACTGACAGATACATGAGCAAAATACAGCCAACTGTTGGTCCTCAAGAAGTGGCTCTACTTTGTTATACTTGAGTTTTCCTGGAGTTTATCTTACTGGTATGTTTTGGGAAAGAACAGTTGAAGGTGACAGATTCAATTTCTCAGTGTTCTGAACTTCTATGAGGTAAAGAGGAAGGATAGCCTTTCACTCTGAAAGTTGATGTCTCATTTGAACTGCAGCAGCAAAAAACGTGATGAAAATAAATCCACGTAGCTTATTGGTGACTGCTGTGTTTTCTGAAGTAGTTCACTTCAGTGTGGTGGAAAATAAGCACTGCAATGTTGAAATACTTTGTGTTGAAACTCTTTGTAAGTGGTACTAAGTTAAGCTATCTCTTTCAGGTGTGGACTGGAACTTGGACACCTCATATGAACAGTGTGCATATGAACCAACTTGGCTGAGTGGGATCAACGTGCTAGACTTGAGATTCCTTTTTCCAGAGGAAAATAAAAATGGCAGAAACAGTTTATGTGCTCCCAGATCATTCTACTGATGTGCTTGACTGAAGTGTGTAGGCTTTTTGCAGAAGAACTTACTAACTGACCTTTTTCTGTGAACATTGTGACTGCCCATTCCCCACCATCATACGTTTCAACTTAGTTAGCCTTTATTCTTTCCTTTTTTTTTTTTTTTTTTTTTTTGACATAACTTTCTGTTGAAGCTGTTCTTTGGCTGGTTGGTTTTAGTACTGTAAACTGCTTCTGAGCAAACACAGAAATTTAGCAAAATTATGTAAACTTGATCCTGAAGTTTTAGAATGGCAAATAAATGTACAATTGTTTACATAACAAATGGCTAAGCAGAAAGTAAATTTCAATATGTCAGTATAGAGGCTCTACTTTATGTAGACTTAAATTAATGTGAGATATGTACCTTCATATTCAGAAATCTGGATGTTTCCTTCATACATTAAACTATTAATAAGCATAACTTTTCTACTTGTGTAATTTAAGTACAGTGTAAAAACTGGGCATTATCAGAGGGTTTTTTCAAATGTGTGTTGGATTTTTTTTGAGAAGGTATACATCAGTTGTAACCAGATATTAATTTTCTTACGTGGAAAGCTTTTCAGACTAAAGTGCTTGAGAAAGCAGGAGTTCGGCACATTAAGAATTGCCCGGTAAAGAAGGTAAATGTGTCACACTGCACCGTCTGTTGAAAACTTCTCGTTGGGTTCATGCAGCTAGGTCTCTTCTTCTGTTCCTTGAGTGTTCTCAGAGTTTCTGTTCCTCCAGTTCCTTCTTTTGCCTGCAGAAGTCATTTCAAGAGATACATACTCTGTATGTGTTACTTCAAGAGCAAGAATATTAACTTGCTGTTGCAGTAGAGCTTCACTGATGAAAACTGGCTCCAAGTGAAGGCTTATTTCAGAATAAGTGGCTTTTTTGTAGTATAGTGTCTTGTTCTGAACTGGATTGTTGACCAGTTAAGGTTTGTCTTGAGAAGTCCAATGAATAATTCCTTACTGTCGCCTTCTTCACTTACAGAACGAACACCAATACCAGGAAACAAATTCCTTGGGTCCTGTACGGCAAGGCAGTGATATGCAAAGCTTGAGTCAAATTCCCGTACGGTTTGTGTATGTGTGGCTTAAAGTATATTTACAAGTTGAGTGTGGTTTTGTGCCAGATGGTGTCGTCCACCATGATCTGTTACTAGTTATTCTGTGTGGGTGATGGCTGAATGGAAACTTGTTCTTTCTCTTGCTCTGCGTCACTTGAATTCAACTCCCTGGAAGAAACACCAACTTAGTTATATGGCCTGCTTCTCAGGCAGTAATTTTTGAAGTGTTTTTTTTGCATTTGTTATGTTAATTGTTAGTTAGCCAGAGAGAAGAAAAATACTTTTCCAAAGAAACCTGCTGCCTTTTAAAAATTCTGCTATTTCTGAGAAAAGAAAACCCAAGTTTTGCATGTACTGATGTCCCTATATGTGCCCTTACGTGATGTGCTAAGTAAGCAAGTTCATTTTTTCCAGCTGTCTAATTACCTGACATACAGTGTCTAAAGAACAGGTTGTATCAAAATGGGTACCAAACTGTAGAATTGCTATGAAAGATGATTGCAATTCCATTTTAGCACCTTATAATGAGTGAAGAATAGTGCCATTCAGGTCTTCTGTGTGACCTCAAGCCCTCTTTTAGAACCTTGTTTACTGCTTCAGTGCTAACTAGGATTCTTTGCATTCTTATTCTGAAATAATCCTTCTAACCAGTACCACTCACCACTTATTACAGCAATGTGTTCCATGGGTCAAAAGAACAGAGTTTTAGGATGTGGTTTCTTAACGTGTTATTTTGTTGACTTGAAAATTCCAACTGTTGGCCGGGGAGCTCAGGCTCGATGCTACACCTGTGGCAAGGGGCTTGCTAAACAAAAATCTGGGGTCTGTGGAAGTCTGTACCAGGAGCATTTTCTTTCAGATACATTTTTTTTATATTTCAACTGTACTGCATTTTATTTGACCAATAAAAAAAGGAACATACTCTTTTGAGACCTGGCAGGTCTTTATTTTTTTTTTTTTTTTTTTTTTTTTTTCTTAAAGAACAAAACCACTGTTAACTAGTGGAACTGTGTAAACAGGGTTCAGGAAAGAGGTAAGTTGATGGAGTTGGCTACCCAGCGCACTTTCCAGCCGCTCGCAAGGAAGTAGGGCCAGCCGTCGCACAGCCATTTGCCCTTCCCTTGCCCGCACCCAACATGGCGCCGGCGAAGCGTCCTCTGGCGCATGCGCGAAGGCAGGAGCTGCGCGGCGGGAGCTGCGCGTGCCGTGACCGTGAGGCATGTGGCGGCTCGCGCGGTCGCTGAGGCAGAGCGGCTCGAGCTGGCAGTTGGGCGGTGCGGCCGTCGGTCGGTTGACGGTCGCCGCGGGGTCTCCGGCGCCGAGCGGGAGCCCCGGCGGTTGGTACGAGTGGCTGGCGCAGTCGGTCCCCGTGCACTGGGCGGAAGATGGGCTGGTGGCACTGCAAGCGGCCGCGGGGCTCCCGTGGTGGGCCGCCATCGTGTGCGGCGGCGCCCTGCTCCGCAGCGCCGTCACCTTGCCGCTGGCCGCGCACCAGGGCCGCCTCCTGGCCAAGGTGGGTCCGCGCGCTGAGGGAACGGGGCTGCGCCGGCGGCAGCGTGTCGCTGCGTCACGGACGCTGCGCGTTTGTGCTTTTCTGTGCTCTTTCTTCGCTAGGTCCTTTGGGCTTATGGGGCGTGGATCACTGCTGCCAGAGCAAGAGTGTGATTTGGGGTTATTGAGTTGTGTATTCGTAGAGTCGCGTAATCGCAGGGTGATTTAGGTTGGAAGGACCTTAAAGCCCGCCCAGTTCCAGCCCCCTGCTGCGGCTCCGGCTGCCCCTCAGCACCTCCGGGGACGGGGCCCCCGCATCCTTTCTGGGCAGCCTGTGCCAGGACCTCGTTGTCCTCTGAGCAAAGCATTTCTTCCTGGCGTTTAACCTAATCTCCCCTCTTATACTTTAAAGCCCTTCCCGTGACATAACGGTGGGAAAGGTCTGGCTGGTGGAGACAGGTGTGTTTCTCAGATGGTTCTTCAGTGACTAACTCAAAAGTGCTGCAGTTTAACTTTTTATGCACTTGTTACATTTAACTGTTTGTCAGGTCATAAACATTATTTCCTTTTCTTTAGCTAGTTGGAAAATTTGCAGCCTGAGATTAAAAAGCTAGCTGAGCAGCTTCGCTATGAAGTTTCTGTTCGTGGAAAGCAACTGGGTTGGTCTGAAAAGGTTGCCAGGTAAGATGGTGATGATTGTGTATGCCTTACAAATTCATTCCAGGTGGAAGGTCCTCCTAACTCTGCTTTTGCTAGAGACTTAGATTGTGTTAGTGCTTTTATGGCTTGTTTGCATTGGATATGTCTTAACAGGAAGAATCGCAGTTTCAAATCTCTGAATTTCTGATAGGCTTATGATTTCAGGGCCAAATCTAAGCATTTTTGTCAATGTCAGCAGTTTTCTTAGCTATCTAAAAGCATCAGAACGTGGCTAGGGACTTAAAGCTTGAAAGGCTATGGTTTTGGCCCTTAATGTGTGATACTGTAAACCCATGCAGTAGCAGTGGATATTAGCTGGGCTACTGAAGGCTGTTTAACTGGCCAGTGATGTGTGTTGGGAAGGCGATAGCCTTGGTCATGCAGAAATCACCACAGAATATTGGACAAGTCACTGCTAGCAGCTAACAGTGATGTGAGAAGTTGCTTAGATGAGTGAGTAGGACTATGAGTTAAGAAGAAAGGGGGTACGTAAATCATGTTGATATGCACAGCCTGTTCAATTGATAGTTCAGAATTTGAGAAGCCCTTGTATTGTAATATGGTATTTGTTTTGTATTGTTTTCTGTCCTTTCTAAAAGATTCCACTTTAAGAAGAACCTGCAGAGGATTATTACAGAACTGTACATTCGAGACAACTGCCATCCATTCAAAGCTACCTTATTGGTGTGGGTACAGATTCCAATGTGGGTCTGCGTGTCTCTTGCATTGCGCAACTGCAGTGTTGGTGCTGTGGACTCAGAAGGTGATCTGTTAGAATATATACTCTCAAAACAGTCGTTTGTCCTTTCATTTCTGTTTATACATGTCCTTATTTAGTTAAAAAAAAGTGATCTCCCAAGTCTGATGTATGAGCTACTCTACTATTAAGTTTTTAAATGTAGCCCGATTTAATCATAAATAAATATTTAATAATATTGAATCTCAAAGGTTTTGATTAGGTACTATGTTTGTGTTGTTGATCTAGAGCAGGCCACAGATTGTTTAAACAAGGAGCTTGCTTCTGGGTCACACCTTTGCTTTTCTCTGGTCAGCTGGTGATCATTGGCTCCAGATCTGTATAAACACTTTGCTGATCTCAGCTTATATGCACTCAGTATTGATAATGGAGTTGTGAGCTGTAGGATGCCTGTTTTAAAAGTAGTATTAGGATCTGAGCTCTGGGAACAATGTGAAACATTTTGTTACATCATACAGGCATTTAATTGTATTGTGGTCTACTGGAGACAGTTATTAGAAAAAAGACTCTGGATTTTTCTGTGCACAACATAGAATAGCAAGTAATGCTACCCATGTGACAGTATGTTCACTAATAATTGTGTTTCTTAGTTTCATATAAAAAATAAATACAAGGTGAAAGTTAGGGGCTTTTAAGTAACAGTCCTGGTATATTCTGATATTTTAGGACAAGTTACAGTTTGGTATTCTAAAAAAAGTGATGTAGTTGCAAAATGTAGTTGCTGCAGATCCACAGATAGTCACCATATGTTCCTATACTGCTTGTTCTCCTTTTGGCTTCTGAAAAGGTTGTTCAGATCTGCCTGATTTTGATCACTAGCTGACCTGAATCAGTGGCTGTCACAAGCCAACCTGTATTTCACTTGTCTTCCTCCATTTTTTCCTAGTGTTCCTAGCAGAATCCTCAGGGTGGTCTTTCACATAGAAGATTTTTGTTCTGATAAAATTTATTATGTAGATAAGATGCTTCTAGAAACTTGGATAATTTCTCTGCAATACTTGGCACGATTCTGACGAATTTGAAGTAGAGGATAACCCTTAATTCCTTTTCTTCTTTACGTTGTTGTTTCAGTTCAAGAACAGTTTTCGACAGGTGGAACACTGTGGTTTACAGACCTCACAGCACCAGATTCCACGTGGATTATGCCAGTTTCACTTGGACTCCTGAATTTGCTGATAGTGGAGGTATGTTGGTGGAATAAACAGGACGATTCCGAAAGGATCCATATACATACTGTAGAATTCTAAGGCAGTGTTACCACTTACAAAACACAGTAACGTGATTGATACTGTGACTGCTTTAAATACATTGATCAGAAGTGAAGATAGCCTAACGATGCTGTGTGCATGTGTCTGCGTTGTTTGGAGATTATTAATAATAACGTGACATGTCTGAGAAACTTTATGTGCTTTGTTTGAACCTCAGTGATGTCTAGTCTCAACTCTGAAGTTGCTCCTAAAAGTTGCTGCTCTAATGAGCTCCCTGTTTTTAAAGCATGAAGATGCGTCCCAGAAATACTTTGTTAGTGCATTGTGGTGAAATTTAATGATGTTATTCTTAGTATATTGTAGAATCCAGAACTTCGGAAGATAGTTGGGAGATGAGTAAACAAACACATTTTAAATAATAATTTTACTTCCCCACATTTTTTTTAATGGAAAAGTTTTTATTTGTCTTTGCCTTTAATCATTAATTTAATCATTAATCATCTGGATTTCATTACTTCTTCATTGTCGTCTGTGACAAGTGGACTAAAACTGCCTTATGAGATTAAAAGTCATTGGTGACTGCACCAATGACTCAATAACTTGATTCTGTTATCTTTCAGTTTTCCAGCCACTGTTTCTTCTCCTGTTCGTAGCCCCTTCTGGAAGGGCTGTGCTCAGGAACTAGCTGTTGGCAATTTTGGATGTGCCATCACAGCTTTTTTAATGCACTGCTTTGAGATTATTTGGAAGAGTGCTTTGCTAGCTTATGATTTTTTTTCTTTTTTTTTTGCTACAGTGTATTAATAATATTGAATGTGAAACAAGGGAAAGATGTTACCAATGTGCTAACTGAACTGGATAATGAGAAAATGAACATAACGTGTGATCAGGAATACAGGCTTATAGGAGATTCTGCTGTTGCCTTTTTTTCTCATTTTAGTTGTTTCAAAAAGAACTTTCTTTTGTAACTGCAGGCTTCTCCCTTCTTCCCTTCAGATCTTTGCTTCACAAAAACTGGAAGCTTCTAGGTTCCAGAAGCTTGCTACAAATTTCTTTAGAGTGTTGTCAGTAGTAATGGTCCCTATTGCTGCAACAGTCCCCTCGGTATGTATGGAGTCTTAATGCTGTGTCCTTTCACCTGTGACCGTTGTGCCCCAATTTCATATGTTGATAGCGCTTAAAGGATGGCCCAAATGCCTGATCTGCTTAATAGATTTCTTATAATTTATATGTGTATGAAATAGTCTCTGAAAAAAAAAAAAAAAAAAGAATCTAGTAGTGTCCATTACATTGTGCCTTCTGTCTGAGTTTGTGCTTGAATTATTAACACACTGGGCTATTTTTGTTCACTGATAAAGAATCTGCAGTTACTGTTTCTAAACATTATTTTCTCAAACAAGGGTTTGGAAAGAAATTCAGAGGGCTAGCATCCTTTTTGTGATTTCAGAAATGAGGCAGTGTTTATCTAAGGAAGCATAGCCAAAGCTTTGGTATGTACATGTTTGCTTCCTGTAAGAAGAGAACGCCTTATTTTTGTAGATTGGGAAATTTTCCACATCCTTCTTAAAACAGTTCTTATTTTTATCCACTGTTTTACTTGGAATGCTTCTGCAGTGGTATAGAAAACAGTGCATATAGTTGTCTCATTGGGTTTATTTTGTCTGAAATGTAGGTGTTTAAGCGTGGTTAGTATGAATTAATTTATGAACTGTTGTCGAGCTGCAGTATAGATGATATTTTTCTCCCAGAATGTTTGGGAGCAGAAAATCATATGCTAAATACACTGCGCTCCATTTCAAATATAGGTTCGTTGTTTTTCTTATAACTGGGAACGTGGTTGTGGTTTGTGAAGAGCTGCCTAAATTACACCTAGGAAGGCTGAACTCGGTGTTTGTCTTGTTGCAGTCCATGGCGTTGTATTGGTTGTCCTCAAGCTTCATGGGACTCTCTCACAACCTGTTGCTCCGTTCTCCGACTGTTCGCCGACTGTGTTGCATACCGAGGACCAAATCTGACTCAGATACTCCTTACAGGGATATTGTGGCTGCCTTGAGTACCAAATACAGTTTTAAGAAATAACACGCTTTGAACTGTCGGAAGAGCTGTCCCACATAATTCGTGTGTGTTGTTGAGAAGTGGTATTTTGTTGAGATGCTCACTGTAAAGTGCTACAGCTGAAATTATATTTCTTTTCCAAATAAAACATTGATCATCTGGCTAAAAGGAAAGATTCATCAACACAAATATGTGTTTTGGGAAGTTTGGTTCCAAGGATGTTAGTTTTGCAATTTGAACAGTCCAGTAATGCAAGTTTGTCCCCTAAATTGTAAAGAGTTATGAAGATAAATCTGTGACCCATCTAGGCTACTTCCTTGTAGCAAAGCTGGTTTGACCTATGTACTAGTGAACAAAATTTTGGGGTTGGGGAGAGGGTGGATGGACTTTGTAGTTACTGGCTCATTTCTTAATTGAGATATCATCAGTTGATATTCACGTGGTTCGTGTTGCAGTCTTTGTAAGAGTTCTCATACGTGATTTCCTCGAACTGCAAAGTAAACTGAATCATTGTCCATCTTTCTGCATTAGATTTGGAATTAGGAGGACAAGTTAATTGTTTCTGGTGAATCTCTATCGAGTGACAGCATTATGTTGGGTTTTTTTACGTGTCAGTGTAATTGTATGTAGGCACTTCTGTAGGGTTAAACTGTGTTTATGTGTAGCCTTGCTCTGCATACATTTTAAGTCAGCAGATGTGCATTGTGACAAAACTTACGTCCTGTTGCTCAAAAGTTTGTGCAAGTCCGAGCTCCTTAAAGGTAATTTATCATCTTAGAGAAGCAGCAATTGGGGTAGAAATGCTGTATCATTCTCATACCGCAAAAACATGATTCGTGATGTAACCGTTAAAGTCGGTGCTCAGTAATATTTGGTAAGTGGAAGTTAGTTTTAAAGAAACTGTGGTTGTTTGTGTGTGTTTGTGGGGTTTTGTTTGTTGGTTTTGTTTACTGTTCTGTATTGTGTTGGTTGGTTGATTGTTTGTTTTAAGAAAAAACTGCTCAGCATTGAAAAAAGAGAAAAGGCAAAGAGAGTACCAGGCTGGCAGCAGCCAACAGTAAGAAATCAGTGGTCACGTGCCTTCATCAAGGCTCCGTGCTCCTTTGTTTTATTTCTCCTGTTGGTTTGTTTCTTGCGTCTTTGTTTCACTCGTGGAGCAAAGGATGGGTTGAAGGATTCACCAAGACTTTGCCCTATAGACATGACTCTTCAAAATGTTTGTTTGAACTTGAGCATTAGTAGCTTTCAGTTCTGATGTTGCACTGCAACACATGGGTGTATTTTCGCTAGGGACATTTGTGATGTTCCCTCCCGTACTTGCTTCAGGAGCATAAAAAGATTTTATATAAGTGTTATTTTCTAATTACATTTTATTTATCTTTACTGTTCATCAGTTTTACTGTTTCTTTATGAATAATGGTAATGTAATCCTCTGTAATTTTCTTAAGAAGATATTTCTTTCCCTTTTGAGGTTTCAGTCAGATGTTGTACTGTTGCTTGCAAACATGCATGCAATTCTTGTATACTGGAAAATGGATTTGTTGTGACAGTGAGGAATTGCTTTTGCAAGATTTTGGCATTTTGAGTCATTTTAAATGTTGGAGAGTTATTCATTTAACAAGTGTTGCTGTCAGATCTGGCTATATGCAAAAACAAAGACAGTGATGGTTGCTGCTAGTTTTTGCTTATAGATTTGTAGAAAGGGTGACTGTATTCTTCATGACCTCGAATAGCATAGCAGGCTTTAGAGAGAGTATGGCTCCTGCTAAAGCCAGAGGGAAGCTTTTCCTCATCTGAAATGGTAACAGGTTAAGAACTGATGGGCACAGCTGATAGTTTTCTTGTGCTGGGTGCCATTTAATTAAGGGTAGCGTAAGTAGGCCCTTCTTATTTCATAATAGCTTTATAGTTGTTTCACCTTTGATTTCTGTGAAGGTAGTGAAGAGTGTGTGATTCCTCTCAGTGGCAGAGTGAGGTCATGTGGTAGGTTTAACAGTTGATAAATAAACAAGAAAAATAATAAACAATAATACAGATTTGAAAGAGTAAGCTGATCTACAAGGTGTTTGATTAAAAGGGGACTGGTTGTAGACAAATATATTTAAAGTAAGGATAGAAAGGTCTTAAGTGGTTTTGAGGAAGAAGATAAGAATGTGGTGGGGTTTTTGTTTTGTTTTTTCAGCATCGCACCTCAAGTTTACAAGATGCTGTGAGAGGAATTATCTTCCTTCTGGGATGCATAACAGAGAAAGTGCTAGTTTATTCAAGTGGAGCCTGAAGATAAATTTCACAGTGTCCTGAATGTTGTACATCTGCAGACATGTACATTTTCTGGGAGCAAATGAACTTTCCCATGTGCCTTTTTTGGCTGTCTGGGGACTGAGATGACAAAACTCAATCTCTCAATGTAGCTCTATTTAGTAAAGTTCCTAACTGTAGTTGCAGTTTACATGTACCTTCTGTATATGTAAATTGAGAGTAAGCTTCTGTATTTGGGATGAAGAAAAAGCAAAAAGAGGAACTGTTCTTCTTTGCCTGTTCCAGGCATCCAGAAATTTCATATTTCTGCAGTACCACCTGTCTGTCTGTCAGAAATGCTAGCAGTTTTGAGTGAGGAGTATTTTGTTGCTGTCTCTCCTATAGAAAGGAATACAGTGAGTAAAAGAAACAGATGGGGTTTTTTTGGTTGTTCTTGTTTGCTTGGTTTTATAGTATTTTAATTCCGTTTAGTCCTTGAATGCACAGGTACATGAACAATCCACCACAATATGTGAACACTGAAGAAGAACTGCTTGAGGTTATCCTGCACGGTATTTCTCTTTTCATTGCTCAGCAGGGCAGCAGGTTGGGGGAAATGAGAATGATTTTATTTGTGAAGCAGACAGAAGTGGTGAGAACTACAGAACAGGAATTGTATTTCTCCCACTAAAGAAAGCACTGACAACTCTGGTATTTTTATTTCTGAATTATGTAGCATTAGTTCAGGCACAAAGGAAGTTGGTGTGGTGCTTCAGCCCTAATTGCAGACTGGTTGCTCATATCTGGCCACACCCTTGCATTATGGTTGCTGCTGTACTCCATTTACACTGTGCTCCTTGAAGAAGTGTCCTAGCCTTTCAGTTGATCACTGGAGCAAACAGTGACTGAGATCTCAAATTTTGACATTTCAGCAAGTAATGGTGTCTGTCAAAGTACTCCCTTACAATAAGCTTCCTGTGCAATACAAACACTGCTTCTAATTTACATGTAGTGTCTTGATATTAGTAGATCCTGTTCTATAAATTCTTTAAATTCTTTCAAGACAATCAAAAGCACTGGAATTTCTAAACTGTTCTTCCTAGCGTTGCCAAAAAAAGCCCAGTCCTCTGAAAAGCAGAAGCAAGTTCCATGAATCCCAGGAATCTCTTAACATGAAGCTGACTTTTAAACAGTAGCACAAATAAATAAAATGCAGTCGCTGTTTCCACTTCAACAAAACAGATGAAAATCTGTAAAAAGAGATTATTAAATAGCATCCCACCTGTGAAAGATTTGTGCACTTCAGCCACAGAACTGTCTGAAAGCTGTTGAATGGAAAAGACAGGACTAATTATAAAATCATCTGTAAGGCAGGAAGTGATGTTCCACTCTGTGCTGAAGAAAGTCTGTGTGCTTCAGACATCAGTCTTGTGTGAGTGCTGGTGCTGACAAGCACGTGGTAAGCAAGAGGCAAAGTGGAAAAGGGGAAGAATATTTTTTGGTTGGAGTATGTATACCTTTGTACGTGCATTTGTGTATACACACACAACTTTCTTTTCTTTCACCCTTTCTTCAAAGCTCCATGATTTTTAGAGGGCAGCTTTGTTTGCTGTGACTTTTCAGATTAAAAGCAGGGGCAGTTCAGCAACCTGAATTCAAACTAGAAACTACTTCAGCTGTTGGAATGCTCTTTTTTTTCAGGTGTTGTTTTTTTTTTTTTTTTTTTTTTTTTTTTGTTTTAGTTAATACTCACAATGTGTGCTGAGCAGTCATGCTTAGACCCTTAGAGGAAGCCATGATTTTTGTTCCAATGCCATTAGACAGACTAAATATTCTTAAGGCTCTGTTTCGTATAAGTGGTTTTGAATTTCATAGAATCATAGAATGGTCTGGGTTGAAAAGGACCACAATGATCATCTGGTTTCAACCTCCCTGCTGTGTGCAGGGTTGTCAGCCACCAGACCAGGCTGCCCAGAGCCACATCCAGCCTGGCCTCGAATGACTCTGGGGATGGGGCATCCACAACCTCCTTGGGGAACCTGTTCTGGTATGTCACCACCCTTTGTGTGAAAAAACTTCCTCCTAATATCTAACCTAAACCTTCCCATGTCTCAGTTTAAAACTATTCCCCCTTGTCCTATTACGATCCACCCTTGTAAACAGCCATTCCCCCTCCTGTTTATGTGCTCCCTTCACCTATTGGAAGGCCACAATAGGTCTCTCTGGAGCCTTCTCTTCTCCAAGCTAAACAAGCCCAGTTCCCTCAGCCTTTCCTCATAGCAGAGGCATTCCAGCCCTCTGATCATCTTAGTGGCCCTCCTTTGGACCTGCTCTATAAGAGCTCTGCATCTTTCTCTGTAGCTATAAGGACTTTGTACTGACTAGCCTAAAACAGAAAGTTGAGTTGTCTTGTAAGTTATTAAGTTGCAAGTAGGTAACCTTGCTTTGTAGGCACCAGACAGCCGGCTGAAAGGTGTGAACTTGGTATTAATTATACATTGATGGTCGTGTCATTGATCCTCCTTTTCCTCTGATCTGTCATTACCTGTTTTTATTAATTTGCTTTCTGCGTGGAAGAGCTTACTCTATCTAATACACATGTCCTGTATTAATCTAAACAATTGTATGTGGTGTTTTGGTATGATCGTATGCCTGTGTTGAAATTAAGCATGGTTAACAACCTGTTTTAACAGGGGATTTGGATTAGTCCTTGTGTACCCTTCCTTTTCACCATAAAAGCTGTTGTGTTAGCATGCTAAGCACCAGGACTGTAAAACAATTGAAGATCTGTGCTTTGTATCAATATTTGGGTTTGAATTTTTCTTTGTTTCAATAAACAGTAAAAAACTGTTCATATAAACTTTTTTAAAATTAAGAATTCCATAAGTTTTAAAGGATTTTCTCCTTTAAGAGTTAAGATTATTGCTTAA